ATCTATGTGATAACACACAAACTTCACACTTTTTCCTCAGGTAAAATAATTTCCTTAAAGGGACAGGTGCGCCATTTTTTTCACCAATCATACCTTAGTCTCAGAGTTTTTTGGCTGACTTAATCAGTAATATTGTTCACAGCTCACTGTCAAAATTTGAGCTTTCAAATCCATGTGTCTAGAATTATCTACGTTTGAAAGTTGAAATGATGACTCGTCTTAGACACTGCCATATATAGAAAAGACATCTATAGAAATAGTGAGTAAAATTCCTAGTTTGAGATATTTTTAAAGGAATTATGTGATTTTTGTACATTTCTATTTCTGAAGACTATTTACATATATTCAAGACTCAAATCAACCTCCAAAATGGCACATCTGTCCCTTTAACATAAAATTAACCCTTTAATCACTGGTTTTATGCTAATTTTAACCCTATGACCAAAAGGTCATATATAGGGCTGGGTAAAATGATTGAAATAATTGATTATCGTCGCTAGGAATTTATAATTTCGATTATCGATTATCAAATTTCATAATCGATTATATGTCAAAGTTACATTTTCTCCACTGTACCCGTTAACAAGTAGTAATCTCTTCTACATAGTTTCCCTTCAGCACATAACATACCCACAATAAACTATAATAACTGATCAAAACTAGGGTTTCCCTCATTGCACACTACATAACCATGTGTTTTATATATTTCAGTATTTTACGTTCTGTGTGAGCCTGTCGTTAGTTTGTACGGCCGTCTTCTCTCAAGCAAGTTCTATCGTTAAAATGGTTTTACTGTTAGGTTTGACAGTTGTCTATTTATTACTAGTCCAACTCGTCTACTCTACTCTGTTTAATAACCATGATTTAATCTTACATCTACAGTCTCAGTAAGTACGCTAACCTCAAAATTTCCCTTATTGTACACTGCATGGTGTTGCTTGTGTTCATTAGCCAATATGGTGCGGACACGAACGGTCTTGGTCTCTGATATTTGTCACAATCTAGAAGGTTTCACCGACCGACTGCTAGCACACGAGGAGACAGTAAATCTCCAGTCGATAATCATGTGAAGATCATGCAATTGAAAGGAAAATGAATCTGATTGGATGATGACGGTCTGTCTTACAGATGATAAAATATGTTTGATATTATAAATCCTGTCGGGGGCGTGATAATCTTGTCGTGGAAGCATGGGAACAGGCAAAATTTATTCAAGATTCTAATCGGCAACAAAAATCTCTGACCAAGACTGGTCGTGTGTGACGTAACCAAGCAGATGATGTCATTCAAAGAATCAATACTCTAACCTACTGTGTTATAGAACTAGTCCTTATTTAGACGCTGATTTTTGTCGCAATCTAGAAGGTTTCACTAGCTCCGTTTACATTGTCAGTATTCATCTGGCCTCGGCCTGGTTCGAGCCTGTCCTGGCAAAAAATTGCATAATGTAAACGGGTAAAGTGAGCTTGGCACTGTTCTAGTTTTAAGTGTGCCGCGACCCTTTACAAGAGGTGGGCTCGGCCCAATTCGGTTGACCTGAATGTACAGTGTAAACGCGCCATAGGGTAACAGTTTATTGCCTTAGTATTGACACACAACCTTGTGATACGATACATGTATTGTGGCCTGTCGTATCACGATACACTGATACATCGTGCCAGGCCAACAATAATTATTAATTATAGTAAAAAAAATGATTTTCAATTTTTTGCAGGACGGAGGTGATGTCAATTCCATTAAGATATGAAACAATTTTAATATTACTGGTTTTTTCTATAGTACTGTTTATACATGCTCAACAAGTTGAGTCCACGACTAGATTAGATTTTCTTTGGAAGATTCAGGTTTGTCTACAATTTATTAAAATTAAAGGGACAGATACGCCATTCTTTTTGACCAATCATACATTAGTCTTAGAAACATACATGTGTAATCTACTAATGTTGTTGGGTTTCTACCACTTTTGCATGTTCTCAAAAGCAGGAATTTTTTAGCTAAGCTAATCAGTAATAGTGTTCACAGCTCACTGTCAAAATTTGAGCATTCAAATCCATGTGTGTCTAGAATTATCTACGTTTGAAAGTTAAAATGACGACTCGTCTTTTCTTGAGACACTACCATATATAGAAAAGACATCTATAGAAACAGTGAGTAAAATTCCTAGTTTGAGATATTTTTAAAGGAATTATGTGATTTTCATACATTTCTAGAATTTCTGAGACTATTTACATATATTCAAGACTCAAATCAACCCCCAAAATGGCGCATCTGTCCCTTTAAAGGGATTGTAAAGTAGCATTTGAAATATTTACAAGATATAATTTGCTTGATGACATTTAACAAATGATGGTTGTGGGTTCTAATTCTAATTAGACTTCTGTCGATCCAGCAGCTGTAAAATAATCTATGTTTTGTTTTTGTAATTTTAGGCCACAGAAGAGAAAGATGAGATGGAGAGTTTACGTGCCTATAATTTAAAACTAGTGGCCAATATTTTACCGCTCAATGTTGCTGAATATTTTTTAAAGAACAAAAAAGATGAGGTAAGAGCGTAAAGATTTTTTTTTTTTTTTTAATTCTCAGCATGCGGGCACACGAACATTCTTGGTCACCAATTTTTGTAGCCAACTCAAATCTTGAGTAAATTCTTACGCGTGCCTGTGCTTCCACGACAAGATTATCACATTGTAGACAGGTTTGATATTTCTCGCGATATTTTTATCGTCTGTAAGACAAACCATCATCATCCAATCAGATTCATTTTCTTTTCAATTGCATGATCTGCATGTGATTATCGACAAGGTGGAAATGATTGGTGACTGAAAACAATGAACGCGAAAAAATCTACATTCACTCCTTAAATATGAAATATTTTCATTAATTTTAGGATCTATACTATAAAGATTGTGAAAATGCCTGTGTAATGTTTGCTAGCATCACCAATTTTTTTGAGTTTTATATGGAGTTAGAAGGGAATAACGAGGGCGTTGAGTGTCTACGATTGTTAAACGAAATAATAGCAGATTTTGACGAGGTAAGGCGTATTAGTAAATAGTAAATTTCTATGTCTGCTAGAAAAAATACTCTCAGAACCACTGGCTGTGGCATCAGAATCGAACTAGTCTCCTGGGTTAAATGGTGCTAATGGCCAAGGAAACCACGGCATCTTGTTTTTGGGTCCAATTTCATAGCAGCAAAGGGTCGTGTCGTTACTGCCGACGAAAATGAGGGGCATTTCCTCTCCTAGAAAAACTCTTTGATACATTGTAGATATTGGAACAAGAAAAGTTTAAATGTTTACATTCCAACTCTCTAACAGATTAGACTACAACCTCTCCTCAAAAAAAAAAAAAATTCTCAATTTATTTTTTAACCTTTTTAAATGTTTAGATTCCAACTCTCTAACAGAATGGGCTACAACCCATCCTCAATTTTTCTCAATTTATTGTAGATATTAGAACAAGAATGTTTAGATTCCAACTCTCTAACAGAATGGGCTACAACCCATCCTCAATTTTTCTCAATTTATTGTAGATATTGGAACAAGAAAGGTTTAAATGTTTAGATTCCAACTCTCTAACAGAATGGGCTACAACCCATCCTCAATTTTTCTCAATTTATTGTAGATATTAGAACAAGAATGTTTAGATTCCAACTCTCTAACAGAATGGGCTACAACCCATCCTCAATTTTTCTCAATTTATTGTAGATATTGGAACAAGAAAGGTTTAAATGTTTAGATTCCAACTCTCTAACAGAATGGGCTACAACCCATCCTCAATTTTTCTCAATTTATTGTAGATATTAGAACAAGAAAGATTTAAATGTTTAGATTCCAACTCTCTAACAGAATGGGCTACAACCCATCCTCAATTTTTCTCAATTTATTGTAGATATTAGAACAAGAAAGATCTAAATGTTTAGATTCCAACTCTCTAACAGAATGGGCTACAACCCATCCTCAATTTTTCTCAATTTATTGTAGATATTGGAACAAGAAAGGTTTAAATGTTTAGATTCCAACTCTCTAACAGAATGGGCTACAACCCATCCTCAATTTTTCTCAATTTATTGTAGATATTGGAACAAGAAAGATTTAAATGTTTAGATTCCAACTCTCTAACAGAATGGGCTACAACCCATCCTCAATTTTTCTCAATTTATTGTAGATATTAGAACAAGAATGTTTAGATTCCAACTCTCTAACAGAATGGGCTACAACCCATCCTCAATTTTTCTCAATTTATTGTAGATATTGGAACAAGAAAGGTTTAAATGTTTAGATTCCAACTCTCTAACAGAATGGGCTACAACCCATCCTCAATTTGACTCAATTTATTGTAGATATTGGAACAAGAAAGATTTAAATGTTTAGATTCCAACTCTCTAACAGAATGGGCTACAACCCATCCTCAATTTTTCTCAATTTATTGTAGATATTGGAACAAGAAAGATTTAAATGTTTAGAGAAGATCAAAACTATTGGTGAAACGTATATGGCAGGCTCTGGTTTGACGCCCCAAACAAACTACTCAGATCTGAGTCACGTTGAGGCAGTGGTATCCTACGCTTTCGCTATAAAAGCACAGCTACAATACGTTAATGAACATTCTTTTAACAATTTCAAGATGAGAGTTGGTACGTAGACACTTAGTCATTTTATCTGTTGTCTTATACCTTGACTGTAATATCCACCTTTCTTGTATCACATTCTCACAATGTCAAGATGTCAGAGAGTCCACATAGCTAATAATGTTTATTTGGTAGTTTGGTTTGTCAACTCAGCATCCCTTTCAGAGAGTCCACATTTGTTATTGAGGTTGATAAACTCAGCTCGCTTTTCAGAGAGTCCACATAGCTAATAATATTTACTAGGCCTTGGCACACCCTTCAGAGAGTCCACATAGCTATTAATGGTATTTAGGTTTATCAACTCAGCTCGCCTTTCAGAGAGTCCACATAGCTTATAATGTTTATTAAGCCTTGGCACACCCTTCAGAGAGTCCACATAGTTGATATTGTTTATTTGGTATTGTGGTTTGTCAACTTGGCATCACTTTCAGAAAATTCACCCATCTGATATCTATGTTTGTCAATTCAGCATTTCTTTCAGAGAGTCCACATAGCTAGTAATGATTATTAAGCCTTGGCACACCCTTCAGAGAGTTCACATAGGTAATGTTGTATATTTTTATTTCAGGTATAAATGTAGGCCCTGTAGTAGCTGGAGTGATTGGTGCTAGAAAACCTCATTATGATATTTGGGGTAATACAGTTAACGTAGCTAGTAGAATGGATGGTACTGGCATCCCTAATAAAATACAGGTTTGATAGCTTCTTGATATATTGTATAATTTCCAATATAGTACGCAACGCTTTTTAACATTCAAGGGGAGCCACGGTGGCTCAGTGAGTTAGACACTTGCTCGCTAACCTGAAGGTCCAGGGTTCAATCCATAGGTCGAGATAATACCTTCAGATTTTTCAACCCAGTTTCCCCCTGTCAGTGAGTTAGACACTTGCTCGCTAACCAGAAGGTCCAGGGTTCAATCTCAGCATAGTTTAAGATAATACCTTCAGATTTTTAAACCCAGTTTCCCCCTGTCAGTGAGTTAGACACTTGCTCACTAAACTGAAGGTCCAGGGTTCAATCCCAGCATAGGTCAAGATAATACCTTCAGATTTTTCAACCCTGTTTCCCCCTGTCAGTGAGTTAGATGCTTGCTCACTAAACTGAAGGTCCAGGGCTCAATCCCGGCATAGGTTGAGATAATACCTTCAGATTTTTCAACCCAGTTTCCCCCTGTCAGTGAGTTAGATGCTTGCTTGCTAACCTGAAGGTCCAGGGCTCAATCCCGGCATAGTTCAAGATAATACCTTCTGATTTTTCAAATAAGTTTCCGCCTATTTGGTAGCACGGTGGGACAATAAACCGAGGCCCCTTGTGCTACAGGCTGTGCACGTTAAAGATCCCTCAACAGTTGGAAATCAAAAAGAAAAGGCTAATTCCACTGTCCTGGCAAAATTTCCCTCATTGCACACTGCATTAGCACCATTAGGTGCAGAAAAGTAGGATGTAAAACTCCATTCATTTCATTTTCAAATATCTAAGAAATTTTTGTTGCCATGTAGAGCCCTTTTTAATGTAAAATTCCAACGCCTAGAAGTTCATTTTGTTTTGGGTTTTTTTCCAGGTTACCCAAGAGATGTATAATATTTTATCAAATCGAGGCTATATGTTGGAATGTCGCGGGAAAGTTCAGGTTAAGGGCAAAGGAGATATGATAACGTACTTCTTAATCAGCAAACCATCTTAAAATCATCTTTACGTCTACAGCAATGGATCTCTCCCCACCCTAACAGAGACTCGGTTCCATCATCAGGAGTGAATTGGTCCTGGGGTTCAGATTTTGTATCCAGGTGGCGTTGGCGTATGATAACGTACTTCTTAATCAGCAAGCCATCTTAAAATCATCACCACATCTACAGCAATGGATCTCTCCCCACCCTAACAGAGACTCGGTTCCATCATCAGGAGTGAATTGGTCCTGGGGTTCAGATTTTGTATCCAGGTGGCGTTGGCGTATGATAACGTACTTCTTAATCAGCAAGCCATCTTAAAATCATCACCGTATCTACAGCAATGGATCTCTCCCCACCCTAACAGAGACTCGGTTCCATCATCAGGAGTGAATTGGTCCTGGGGTTCAGATTTTGTATCCAGGTGGCGTTGGCGTATGATAACGTACTTCTTAATCAGCAAGCCATCTTAAAATCATCACCACATCTACAGCAATGGATCTCTCCCCACCCTAACAGAGACTCGGTTCCATCATCAGGAGTGAATTGGTCCTGGGGTTCAGATTTTGTATCCAGGTGGCGTTGGCGTATGATAACATACTTCTTAATCAGCAAGCCATCTTAAAATCATCACCGTATCTACAGCAATGGATCTCTCCCCACCCTAACAGAGACTCGGTTCCGTCATCAGGAGTGAATTGGTGCTGGGGTACAGATTTTGTGTCCAGGTGGCGTTGGCGTATGATAACAAACTTTTTAATCGGCAAACCGTCTTAAAGATGGGTTCCCTTATTTTTATTTATAAAATGAAAATGCTAATACTTATATGAATAGAAAGTAGAGGTGTTCTAATGACTTGGAAAAATACCAGTATGTCTCACATGTCCATAATTAATTCATAATTAGCTAAATTAGAAGAGAATTACCAGCAGAATTCCAATGAGTGACCGATCAAGAAAGGTCAAAAAGTCTTTTTTTTTGTTTATCCAGACTGTACATACATGGACATTTATGATTGGTTAAAACTCTTAATTATATTTATGAAATATTTTCAGGTATAATTTATGACGTTTTTGATAATGAAAACTTTTTACAAAAAAGCTGAAACATAGTAAAAACAAAAACTTGACGTTTTCAAAATATTTCGCCCACATATCATTTTACTATCTTGCCTTTTCTTACCACATGTCCTCAATTTTTTGGAGAAATGGACGCCAGCCTTAAGGTGCGGTCACACGAGCTGTCTTGGTCTGAGATTTTTGTTGCCAATTAGACTCTTGTCAAGAGTTTCAACAACTGGCACAGGCACACTAGGAAACAAAAATCTCTAGTGGGTCGTTTTCCACCTTGTTGATAATCATGTGAAGATCATGTAATTGAAAGGAAAATGAATCTGATTGGATGATGACGGTTTGTCTTACAGATGATAAAACTATCAGAGACAATTATCAAATTTGTTTAATATTATAAATCCTGTCGGTCACACGTTAATCTTGTGCAGGCACACGTGAAATTTTACTCAAGATTCGAGTCGACGACAAAAATCTCTGACAAAGACCGCTCGTGTGCCCGCACCTTTACTGATATCATATAACATTACATTTCAAGGGATTGTAAAGAGATTTTCTAAATTTTTTATGTGTATCAGGGACACTGAAAGCATCAATTTACATCATTCTAATTTTCAATCAGATGTCTGTGGTTCCTGCAATTCCACTAAAACTAAGTGCAAGGTCTTTGAATGTTATTAGCTTTCGCGATTAGTGACGTCAGTTTAAGTCGAATTGCAGGAACCACAGACGTCTGATTGAAAATTAGAATGATGTAAATTGATGTTATCAGTTTCAAAAAACCTCTTTACAATCTCTTTAATACATAAATTCTGTATTTTTGTATAATTTACTTTTTGTATATTGTATATACAGTCATTATAAAGTCTTGCCTTATATTCATTCATCATTATATATATTTCAAGGGATTGTAAAGAGTTTTCTGGCTTTTGTATGTCTTACAAGAAAGGTGACTATTGTAGTCAAGGTACAAGACCAAGTTCATAATAGCTTGACATTGTGAAGATGTGATACAAGAACGGTGACTATTGTAGTCAAGGTATAAGATGAAGTTTATAATCACTTGACATTGTGAAAATGAAGTTTGTAATAGCTTGACATTGTGAAAATGAAGTTTGTAATAGCCTGACATTGTGAAGATGAAGTTAGTAATAGCTCGACATTGTGAAGATGAAGTTGGTAATAGCTTGACATTGTGAAGATGAAGTTTGTAATAGCTTGACATTGTAAAGATGAAGTTTGTTATAGCTTGACATTGTGAAGATGAAGTTTGTAATAGCTTGACATTGTGAAGTTGAAGTTTGTAATAGCTTGACATTGTGAAGATGAAGTTTGTAATAGCTTGACATTGTGAAGATGAAGTTTGTAATAGCTTGACATTGTGAAGATGAAGTTTGTAATAGCTTGACATTGTGAAGATGAAGTGTGTAATAGCCTGACATTATGAAGATGAAGTTAGTAATAGCTTGACATTGTGAAGATGAAGTTTGTAATAGCTTGACATTGTGAAGATACAAGAATGGTGGCTATTACAGTCAAGGTATAAGACCTAGTTTGTAATAGCTTGACATTGTGAAGATGATTTAATGTGTTATTCCCTCCGAAGTCTTTAAGGTTTTTAGCCGAATTTGTCTAGTCAAATATTCATATTGTTTCAATTATATACTTTTTTATAAATGGATCTGAAAAAGGGCATTAAAGCCACGTTTCTTCTATCAAAGAAGTTTGTGAATGCAGAGATTTGATT